TACTGTTGCTGCTGCTGCTGCTAATAATAATAACAATGAAACTTGACCTAGATTTTTCAGGGTCGTCATGGCAATAGCTTGACCTAGTTCGTTTTCGGCTTTACACTCGTAGACGCCCTCGTCTCTTATCGTCGGGTTCGTCAGGGTCAAGGTCCCTTCATGGGTCACCGTGAATCTATCTGGGTCAGACTGAGGACGAAGATGATGATGATGATGTTGATGATGATGACGTTGTTGTTGTTGTCGCTAATGATGATGTTGTTGATAGTGTTGTTGTTGTTGTTGTTGATGATGATAAAATTTAAAATAATGACGTTCAAACATAGGCTGATAACTCTGGTAACTTTTACATCTATGGCAACTGAGTTTGATTTGTAGAATTTTTTTGTGACATAAAAAATTTTTCGGTCAGGTCACATATAGAAGGTCAAACAAAATTTGGGTCACATTTATCAAGGTCAAATTTATATTTTAAGGTCAAGCAATATCAGATTCGCAAAATTTCAACTAACCAGCTGTCCGAATTGCTTGCTCCAGTAAATAGCTGGGGCCGGTACCCCAGTCACGTGACAAATCATGGTTGCCTTGGATACAGGGATGTGCGAATTATGATGATGATGGTGGTAGTGGTGATGGTGATGATCGGGGAATGAGGAATGAGTTGTGATAGTAGTAGTTATGCTTGCTGTTGGCGGTTCTGAATGAATTGTAAGGAGAGAATCATTGAGATCATCGTCATCATCACCATCAACAACAACAACATCACAATCATCACCACCAACATTATCATCATCAGCATCATCAGCCTTGCTAGACACGTGATCTGCATAAAGCCAATGAATCGAACGGGAAAAGAATAGAGCGATTAACTAAGTACTAGTAGCAGTAGCAGTAGTAAATCTAGTAGCAGTAGAAGTGGTTGTAGTAGTAGTAATAAAAGAAGCATTAGTGGTAGCTGCAGTAGCAGAAGTAGAAATAGAGGCAGAAGACGTAGTAGTGATTGTAGTAGTATTAAAAGNTTGTAACTGTCAATGCTTTTGATTTGCAGTTTTGTATATAGTAGTAGTAGCAGCAGCAGTAGCAGTAGTAG